CGATGGATGATGGATAACGTTACTTAGAAACTTGCTCCACTTCCTTGTTTCATAGTTTTATCAGGTGTCTGTGCCTTACTTGAGTACTTATTTTTATGAGAACTTTTTACTTTATCTGTACTTCTCCTTACGTAACAAGACAAAAACTACAAAACGAGACGAAACAGAGAGAGGGACACTCGACTCTATTTGTACTTTCAGTAAGGTTTGCAGAGAAGCAGCCAGTAGAAATGTCCTTCAGAGAAACCACGAGAGTACTTTTATTTTTATTACAGCCTGTAGGTTTCCATACACCTCAGATCCAGTAGGATACTTTTGCCACTTCTGCTCCCTACCTGAACCCGCTGTGTCTAGTCCTGGTCGGAGCCGTTATAAGTGTCCACCGGTCTCGGAGGTTGTGTCCCAATCGTGGTCACTGGGAGGCTGCTAAAGCCAGCTCCGTTGTCCACTCTGGCTCTGGTGCTCATTCTCCTGTGCTCGTGGTGTTAACAGACCTAACCCAGCACCCTAGGACTGCTACAGTTAGCATATGCAGCGGTGCAGTGGTAAAAGACTTCCTGTGTTACAAGAAAAAAGGTCCATGTTGCAACAATCCTCTGATACTTTGTTCTGGTGACGAGGAGCAGCTCCTGAACGCAGTTTAACGTTGGTTTGGTTTGTCTGCGACTGTCAGACTGATGGAAGGTCTCATCAACAGTTTGGACTATTAGGGGACAGTACTAATCCTTGTCCCAGCTCAAGTCCAAGCTGCCAAAATATGTGTCCAAATCCAACTCTGGTTCACAGTTATATCAATGTTTATTCATGTCCAAGTCCAAGTCAAAATCTTAGATAGTCCAAACTCAGTGATAGTACAGTCCAAGTCGAAGTCATCAATATTCATGTGCCAGTCCAAGATCAATTCATAAATATTTAATCCATCCGTAAATTTTAAAGTATCAGGTTTTGGAAAACAGGTCCAATCAATATCAGTCTCTTCCGATCGATGTTCAATATCTGAGTTCAGGCGCCAGTGAATATTTAAACCCGAGTTCATCAATTTTAAAACTGTACCACCTTTACGATCGGGTTTAACAGACGCATTAATCACGATACGTAAGCAGTAGCAGGAGAGCTAATCAATAGGTTTGGATAGTATGATTCAACGAGCTCCTGAATGGTTTACTTACTCGCACAAACAATGAGACCAATGCAAGGAAAACACACCATACACACAGACAACACGCACACACACAACCACACACAAGGAAACATGACCTGATCAACTCACTGCACTGTCATGGTCATGTGACCGTCTCACTCTCACATGTCTTCTCTATTCTCAGCCTGTACTTCTGTTGCTAATGACGACGAGGGGCCTTCATGTGGGCGGGGATGGCTGCAGGGGTGCATGTTGGACGCTCCGCCTGACTTTGACTGACAGGTGGGGGCGTTATGCTGGTGTTCATCGCCGACGCCGCCGCTCATTCATCTCGGTGGATCGTCCGCACCTGCCCGCCCCCACCATACATGTAACGCTATGGACACGCTGCATCCTGGTTGGCTACGGTACACGCCTTATTATATACTTACAAATATATGTATATATGGTATACTAAAGAACTTTAAAGTTCAAAAACTAATGAAGGAAACCGCCAGTGCCAGCGCAAGGTCGCCGGTCGCTATGTGAGATGGAGAAGAATTCATGATGGGATGTTACTTTCAATCAGGCCAGTAAGTGACACCCAGGAACAACACACACACACACACACACACACAACACACAACACACACACACACACTCTATAAGTTTCTGTTAGTCTCGCATCATCCTATAAGTTAGGTCGCACAGCTGATGAAAGAGGAGGAGGAGGGCAGGGCAGGAG